GTGTTCTGCCTTTATGTATGCCTGCAGACCAGAAGAGGGCACCAGGTCTCGTTATAAAGAGTTGTGAGCCACCATGTGGTTGCTGGGAACTGAACTCAGGGCCTTTGGGAGAGCAGCCAGTGCTCTTAACCTCTGAGCCATCTCTCCAGCCCCCCAGTTCCATCTTATAGACCAAGAAAGAAAGGCCCTGAAAGGGTTTGATAGCTAGCCCAACGTGTTCTTAAATATCACATAGCTTGTCTTTTCAGTGAACATGGCACTGAGTTTGTGGGTCTGAGTTTGTAGACATCTGTGCTTACAAATATTTTTGGAGAATATCTATGTGTTTTGTATTTACCTAATATTTTGTATGTGGGGGCAAGCCTGAGTGTGCATGCATGTGTGCATGAATTTCTGCCCAGTGTGAACATCCTGGTCTATACATGGTTTGGAGGCCTACCAGCCCTTTCTCCCCGCCAACTCTGTGGGATGAGTCTGGAGGAGATCACTGGGTAGAGCTTGCCCAGCAGGCCTGTAAGGCTCTGGGTTCCACTCCCAACACCAAAGGAGGAAAAGTCTACAGAATATGGAACCCACCCCCTGACTCCCTTCTCCAGCAGTCTGGTGGCGGCCATACTGAGCATCCTCAGGCAATGCCCCTCTCCCAGACTCCGCAAGTGTTAGGTTTATAGACTAAGCTCACACTGCCACACATGAGAAGGCTCTGGGATCCTTTTTGGTCCTGAGTTGAAGATCCTGAGCACTAGGAAGCTGCCCTCACCTAGAGCCCACCTCCATTTCTGCGGGTGTATGAACTTTCAGTTTATTAGTAAGTTGCAGCTGCCCTCAGAGGGCCAGAGACCCATCTCAAAGACACAGAAGGTCCATTTAGGGCTTGCACTCTGTGAGGACATGGGTGACCCCTCACCACCCGCCCACCCCCAGCAGACCCAATTCTGGGACAGTCTGGCCAATCCAGGACATATACAAAGGAAGTGAGTACATGGCCTCTCATGGTCTTTTCACAAGTGGGCCCCACCTTGGAGAGATGTGACCCGAAAATAACTTTGGTCCACCCACCCTGGAGCAATGTGAAAGATGCCCCAAAGCTGCCATTCTCCACCCACCAAGGAGGTACCTGTCTTCCTCCAGACAGCGTACTCACCCCGATAGACTTGAGCTGCAACCCCAGGCTATCCTTTCTCACTCAAGTTCTGCCTGATCCCAGCCACCAGCGTCTAGTCCAGCAGCACAGGACAGGCCTGGCCAAGATGTGCTCCCTGGCTTTTAAAGCTCCCAGAAGTCAAGGGGGTACTTATGGCAGGGCAGGGAGGGGCAGGCGTAACCTTCCAACAGTCCAGGCTGGCCCCAGAGGTGGCTGTTTACTTGTGGCCACCAGCGGCAGCTGAGTGGGGAAATTGGTTTGTTGGTTTTCCACACTTCCTCCAGACTTCCCACAGAGCCCTCTTGGACCCCGGTGATGAATGGCCCAGAGTTTAGAGAAGCCCTCACTGCTCCAGCACACAGTCATCTTTGTGAGAAGCGAGCAGCACTCAGGAGGAACCAGGCCGATGCTAAAAACTGATTGAGGAGATCCCCTGGCCAGCTCCTCCTTCCGCACTGGGCTGGGGACCAGGAACAAGCAGCTAGAGTTGGGACAATGGAGACAGAAGGTGCCTGAGCCTGCAGAGACCCACACCCTGTTCCCCGCCACACACACCCAGCTGTGGAATCTACAGATCTGGAGCAGAACGGGTGGCTTCTTATCCTCTCCTCAGGTCTCCGAGAAGAAAGGGCGATAAAATCGGTGATTAAAATCCGTTTAAGTGCTGTTGCCGCACGACTTCCTGAGGCTGGAGGCTGCTCTACCTCTCTGAGCCATCTCTCGCAGGTGAGATGCCCTCGTTCCTTCCCAGCTTCACCCATCACTTGAAAACATTCCCAGCTCCCAGCTCCCTCACGTGTCAGGCACCGACACGGGGCTGAAGGTACAAAGTCGAGCGGCCCCATCTCTGTGGGATGGTCTCCATTCCCAGACATCCTCTCTCCACCCAGCATGTCTGTCTGTTCTGCCAAGGTGGGACGGAAGGCTCCTGGTGTCCTGCAACTTCACTGTTCTTGGACCTCACCCAGGGAGAGTGTTAGATGGGGGTGGGGCGGATGTCAGCTGAGCTGTGTTCATCCAAAGCCTCTTGCATCCTTTTAAGGGTGCCTACTTTTCTCATATCATGAGTCACATCAGAGGCTCTGAGTAGACAAAAATCCTGCCCCTGAAGGAGTGATCCTAACCCTCAGAAGTTGGAGGAACATGACATTAGATAGTCCCAAACCCCAGATGCCACCCAGCCTAGGCATCTGCAGGGAGGGCCTGAGGCAGTGTGGCAACATGTCCCCGGTTCCTGAGTTTAGGCATCTGCTCTTGGTCCTCATGTCCCCTTGTGTCCAATGAGATCGGACAGCGGATACTCTGTGGGCCCTGTGCACACAAGCATAGCTGGGGACAGGGTGAGGCATTGCTGCCACCTTCCCTAGCTGCCTGGCTCTGCCCCCACCTTCCCTTCTGACAGTCTGAAGACTCCAGCTCTGCAGGGCATGGGGTACGGTGGGAACGACAGCTGGGACCGTGACCCCTTACGTTCACCAGGGAAATGGTGGGGTGAGGATAATAGTTTATGCTGTCAAGGGGCAAAGGGGAAGGAGCATAGTGACCCGCTTAAGAAGGCGGATGACTGACAGTTCAGCCAAGGGACAATCCTAAGGACGGTTTTTGTCTCTATTAAGTAGCAGCTGCTCAGTTGAGTAGCAAATTGTCTTTCATGGGGTTACCGTACCATGCCCCTGCACTCACACCCAAACCTCCAGCTTCCTGACTCCTGAGCCACATCGAAGGATCCAGGAGCTGGGTACCACCCAGCCTTTGGTTTCCATGGCTCCACAGAGACTGGAAAAAGATAGATAGTCAGAGTCCACAGAACCAGGTCAGGAAATGTCACCGGTGTTTCTTCCTTGTTGCTATGGAGACCTATACAGACAGGCTGGCACGGTGAAGCCAGCACAATTCTGAAAACAGACTCCAGGTTCAAATCCTGGCTTGGTCTCTTACTAGCTGTGTGACTTTGAAAGATATCTAATTTTTCTGAGGCTTAGTTTCCATCTGTAAAAAAAGGAGATGAAATGGAAATTCTAGAGGAAAGGAATGACTTAAGGGGACAGTGTCTGTGGGGCTCCAGAAGGCATGACAAAGGGGGCAAAGGAGTAGGAGAGGGGACCGGCTACTGTATTCTAACTGGAATTGGGGTAGCCAAGCACAACCTCCCTCCTTTTTCCTCTGGGACCACAGGCCTGGCACGACCCACACACCTTGCTAATCCTGGCATTTAGGGCCCGTACATTGCTGCTAGTCAGTATTGTTCAGGAACAGGAGTGAGAACTGACGCATTTCTTCCCAGTGACTGGCCAAGACCACCCATCCTCACATCTTTGTGGACCGTCAGTCCCAACTCCTGGCAGTCCCCGTTCCAGGAAAAAGAAATGTTTCTGGCCCTCTGGGGAACTCACACCAGCTGTCACAGAAGAACCGACTTGGATACCCAGTACAGGGACAGACAGTAATCACCCCCTCATCACCACCAAGTCAAGGCCCTGCTGGAAGACACAGCTTCTACCAGACCTTTCTCCAGCCAGGCCAGCAGGAGCTAGCAGGGGTTGATGACCCAAATTCCACATGTCTCAGGGACTCCATCCCAGCTTGTGCCCACTAGCCCCCTTTGGGGCTAACTTACCTGCCCTTGTGGCGAGGGCATGGGAGGACTAAAGAAATCCACTCATACTGTCTCCCCAGAGTCCCCTGTCCCTGCCAAAGGCATCCCATTCCACCCTGAAATGGAATCTTCCTATCCTGGGCAGGGAGAGGTAACTGTGAGGCACAGTGGGACACTTGGGTCACTTTCCCAAGGAGCCCATGTAGGGCTTCCCACAGCCAGTCAGGCCTTTTCCTCTCTAGAAGAGCAATTCCTCTAAGGCTAACTGGGCTCCACTCACACCAAATCCACAATGCATTCATTACCGGTGCCATCACTCGTCTGGCAGCACTGACTAAGACTGTGCCCTGCACTGCACTAGGCCCAAGAAGATCCTTGGGAAACAACAGAACACTATATGTATCCTGGTGTGAGGAACGATTATCTTCCCAACAGGCAGGTTTCACCCTGACTTTTGAGTCTCAATTTAATTCATGGTCCTACATATATAGCCCATAGCTGGGACCCCCGCCCCGCCCCTGGAAGTCCCTTCGAGGAAGCACATCCGCCGGGGGTGGGGGTGGGGGGTGTGGAAGGGTCTCTGCTTCCTTGCAAGGCCCTGTCACGGCCACCACGCAGATGTCAGCCAGGCGCAGCGCCAGCACGCAGCCTTTTCCTCACAGCCCAAAGACCCCATTCCAGAAGAACTCTTTAAAAGTTTATGAATCACTGTCTCTGGTCTCCCCACCTCGGCTCCGGAAGGGCTGTGCACACAAAGACACCGAATTTCCACCCCGAGTCCGCCCCTGCTAGCCCCAGAGACAGCGGTGTCTGCTTCTTCCCTCCCCGTTCCGGGGCCTCAGTGGGTCCCAATCACAACTTTCCAAAGCCCGGAGAGTTAGTAGTCGCCTGCTGTGGCGTTTGGGGAGGAGGGCTCCCTTTCACGGTGGAAGGAACTTCGGGGAGCAAAGAACCCAGCCTGGTTTAAAAGTCCCCAACCCTGCGCTCCCAGGAGCGTGCATTTCGGAGTGTGCAGGGTGGTCGGGGGTGAAAGTGCTGAGATCCTCGCCTATGGCTTGTGCTGTGACCCGGTGTGGGTACCAGGCAGATGGGAATCTAGAAGCGGCGGGGGGGGGGGGGGGGGGGCTTTCCCCGCTCAGGGAACTCCCCTCCCGCCCTCCGCGGGTCCCCTTCTCCCAAAGTTTGGCGCGCGCTCTGGGATGCGGTGTGCTCCAGGCTGGGGCCCAGGAGGCGGTGCCGGGATGCGGGCGCCCCACTTACCCCGGCCGAGCCTCCTCCTCCCGGCGGGCGGATCAGATTCTCCGGAGGCCAGCGTCCAGCGCGGGCAGCATCCGCCCCAAGCTGGGGCCGCGCTCTTAACAGCGCCCACTCTGCGTCCCCGGTGAGTGCGCGGAGGGAGGCGCGGCCGGGCCGGTCCCCTCTCTGCGCGGGAAGCGGCGCCAGGCGGGCGGTGTCCTAGCCGGCGAGCGATTTGCTCTGCCCACTACTCCGATCCCGTTAGCGGTCGGCGGCGGGCCCCTGATCCGCAGCCAAGGCTCCGGGAGTCCCGCGCCCCTTCGCTTCGCTTCCCGCCTCACTCCACACGCGTACCCGGCAACTTGGGGACCTTCAGCGAAGTTGGCGTGGCCGCCCACCCGGCGGCTAAGAGAGGATGGAGGAGGCGGAGGACGCAGGGAGGAGGGAGGAGCCGAGAGGAAGGGCAGTAGCCTCCCCCCCCCTCGCCCCCCGGGAGCCTCGCGCTCCACGACCCCTCTGTGGGCCTTTGTTCCAGATGTGGCCGCGTCCCCGGGGACTAGCCAGGGCTGCTCCTATCCCTCTCCTTGAGGACGAGGCTAGGTGGAGCTCTGAGCCCCAGGGAAGGGAGTTCAGGGAGAGGCTGCTTGGAGGGCTTCCCTGCTGTACCCCCAAGCTGTTGCCCATCCTCAGGGCTGAATGTAAGGATCTTCCTGTAAGTCACCGTACTCCTTCCCTGGGCAGCAACAGGTTACTGAAGTGCCCTTAGTGATTTCTCACGTGGCCCCCAGGGCAAGATGCAGGAAGGGTCCTCGCCAAGATGGACAGAGAGATACTTGCACAGCGGCTACTTGGCATTATCTTGGCCTTTTGGAGTGCTGGTACCCCTGAGGTTTTTTCTGGGGGGGGGGCTGTCATCTCTGTGCTTTGGGCAGTGGCCAGTTGAGTGGAGAGTAGCGCTATATCTGTACAAAGGCCGGTTTTGCTAAGACCCCCGGTAAGGGGCTCTGAACTGGAACACAAGCTGAACCTCAGGTTCCGTGATCCAATCCTGGTGATTGATCCTGGTGATTCTGTCCTTGATGCTGCCCTGCCCAACTTTCTTCCCAGGATTTCACAGCCCTCTGCCTCTAGCTAAATTCAGGCCTAAGACAGCCCTCCTAACATTTCATGGGTTTTTGTAAGGTTTAGACAGAATGGGCAATTTTCTATAAAGGAGAAGTGAGAATACTAAATAAATAAATGAAAGAAAGAAAATTACAAACTGTCCTCAGTCCCCCTTGTCATGCTGAACATTATGTTAGGGGAATAAGTTCACAGACTTGAGGCAGCAGATGAAGAGGCAGACAGAATGGAGTGAGACCCAGGCTAGTCCAGGACCTTTTGCTCAGGTCCTAACTAGAAGGCTGGTAGACTCCGCCAGCCTGTTGGATAGCAGGGATCTGATCAAAGTGCCCTCCACTATGAGATGAGTCTTCACTTTACTTACGGACATGTAAGATTCCATTTCAGGGTCCGGCTAAGTGGGGGGTGGAATGGGATGCCTTTGGCAGGGACAGGGGACTCTGGGGGGACAGTATGAGTGGATTCCTTTAGTCCTTCCATGCCCTCGCCACGAGGGCAGGTAAGTTAACCGCAAAGGGGGCTAGTGGGCAGGGAAAACCATGTGTTCCAGAAGCTTTTGTGAGAGAGTTCCTAGCCCAGTTTAGCCTCAAAATTGATATGTAGCTGAGGCTGGCTACCAACTCTTCCTGCTCTACCTCCCATATGCCAAGATATCATATGCCTAGATCTTGTTTGTGTTAGTATTCAGGCATCTGCGCTGGCCTGCCCTTAGGGTCCTGACAGGATAGTCCTCAGCTACAGCCACTAAGAACGCCTCCTGTGCACAGTCGTTACCTTCCCTTTTAAAAGGCAGGCCTTACCCACTTCCCATCTCTTTCGCTCTAGGTCTGTCTGTTTCTCTCTCTCTTCTTTTCTTTTCTGCTGTTCCTGTCCCCAGAGGCTGGCCTCCCCCTTTCCCTTAATTTAAAAAACAACAAACAAACAACAACAACAAACACCTCTATATGAGTTCTGTTGCATGGCGTCTTTCTCTCTCACGTTGCTTTTTAAATTACATCATTGGTTTCCTAACCGGGAAAGGCTCTCCTGGCACTTCCTTCTGCCTACAGGCAGCCTGAGGCACGCTGGGATCCTGGAACCTGGTCCAGGTTGGCTTCTTCAATCCCTGGGTCCCTTTATCCAAGATTGGCGTGACTGGTGAGCCCCTCCCCCTTCCCCACCTCTGTCTATTTCCCACGAGTGAGGATTCATCTCTAGAGCATGGTTTTTCTTCTTTTGGCCTCGTTAAGTCCTGGTACCAGGCAACCACAGCTCTTTCGGGCTCAGAGCCCTTGGCCACCACCCTTTGCATGAGGACTCACTGGGCAGCATGTGCCCATCTCATTTCTCGGACCCTCAGGTCTTTCAGTGCCCCCCCCCCCTTGAGCGGCTTGTGCCTTTCTCCTGATCCGTGCTTGATGAAATGTCATTGGATCTTGTTCTGCTTCGCTCGTGGGAAATAAGCCTCCCAAAACTCTACTTCCCAGCACCTTATATATTGCTATTTTATGGGACCTTTGCAACATTCTGCCAGTGATCACAATAGATGGAAGGAGGTATCCCCCTTTGACCCTCCTCTTTCCCCGTCCCCCAATAAATCTCTTACACTAACTCTGTTGCATGAGGCACGTTTGCTCAGTGGCAGACCCACCGGAGGTATCACTTCATGCGGGACCCTACCCATCTGCTCCACCCTCGGTAGATCTGCGCTCTTCCGCCTGAAATAATTCTGCTGTCTCGTTTACTGGCGGCTTCCCATTCTATTCAATATTGGCAATTGGGTCTCTGGCGGGGCTACCTGCCTCTGACCATTCCCCTTGATGTGAGGTTTCCTTTCTCGAGCACAGTCCTCTCCTCGCCTTCTGGCTTTTCTTCAAGTCCCGGTACCAGGCAATTGTGTCTCTCTCGGACTCAGAGCCCTTGGCCCCTGCTCTGTATTTGAGGAATCGCTGAGTAGCCTGTGCCACCTAGAAATCGACCGTCCTAAATTCCTGGGATGCTAGGAATTGCAGGCCCTTGGGTCCTCTCTGCCTCATTCATGGGAACTGTGTCTTCGTTTATACCTCCTTGCTCCCACTGGGATGTGTTTTAGAAACTCACTGACCATTCCTAATCATCTGTTGTTGCAGGACTACCAGCTGTTGGCCACAGCTGGAGGTGCAAGACCATCAAACACATCCGGGTGAGGCTGTCGTGATGGGAAAGGATCAGATGCTGTAAGCCCTAGGGAGTCGACTCGGCTCCACCTCGAACAGCATTTTGCCAGGTCCAAGTGGCACCTGGTGGTTCCACAGAGCCTGGACAGTGAAGTGAAATGGCCGGCTACTCCAGGACGTGACCGGCACCCCAGCTTTCCCGGGTCTCCCAAAGATGAACCATGCTTCCCCAGGTCAGCAGGAAGTAGTCTCAAGAACATGGGGTCTTCATCCCCTGCTACCCCTTTCTAACTCCTCACCTTTCTATAATAAACAAAAATAGGGGGGAGGATATTATCATTCAGGCATCTGCGCTGGCCTGCCCTTGGGGTCCTGACAGGACACATCCTCAGCTGCAGCCACTAAGAGCAGCTCCTGTACACATTCACTGTGTTCCCTTTTAAAAGGTGGGCCCTTGCCCACCTGCGCTCGCTCTCTCTCTCTCTCTCTCTCTCTCTCTCTCTCTCTCTCTCTCTCTCTCTCTCTCTCTCTCTCTCTCTCTCTCTCTCTCNNCTCTCTCTCTCTCTCTCTCTCTCTCTCTCTCTCTCTCTCTCTCTCTCTCTCTCTCTCTCTCTCTCTCTCTCTCTCTCTCTCTCTCTCTCCTTTTCTCTTCTGCTGTTCCCGTCCCCAGAGGCCAGTCTCCCCCATCCCGTTCTCTCTTTTCCCATCCCCTTTCCTTTAATACCCCCCCATGAGCTCTGTCACATGGTGTCTTTCTCACCCTGGAGACAGGGTCTTGCTACGCAGTCCTCGCTGATCTTACACTCCTCAGCCCTGGCAGGCTCCCAAATCTGTGACAATTCTTCTGCCTCAGCCTCTTGAGTGCTGGCGTTACAGACATCTACCGCTGCAGCCTGGCTAATGTCATTAAAGGAGTGACATCATCCAGTGTCTGGAAAATTCTGTGGATGACAGACTCAGACTTTACAACCACCACCAGATAAAAACTGCAAAAAAGGGGGTTGGAGAGAGGAAAACAAGAAACAGATTAAATGAAATGGGGGGGGGGCGGTTTACAGGGCATTGTGTTGGGAAGTTTGTCTTCATTTGTTCCTTTGATTTCAATGCCAGGTCTCCCACAGGTCAGGCAGGTATGCTGCCGTTAATCTACCTCCCCTTTAGTTTTCACTTTTTAAATTAAAAAAAAAAAAAGATTGTTTTTTGCTGAGCAGTAGTGGCGCATGCCCATGATCCCAGCACCTGGGAGGCAGAGACAGGCAGATCTCTGTGTGTTCAAGGCCAGACTGCTCTACAGAGTGAGTTCCAGAACAGCCAGAGCTACAGAGAAGAAGAAAAAAACCTGTTTAAAAAAAAAAAACTTTTAGAATTTTTATTTATGTATGATACATGTATGCAGGTTCCCAAGATGGCCAGAAGAGGGCGCCAGATCCCCTACCAAGAGCTGGAGTTACAGCCCATTGCCTGTCACCTAACTACTGAGCTCTTGTGCATGTGCCAGTTCCTCCACCAGAATTTAAAAAAATATAATTCTTGCAGACGATTGGAGTTCAGTTCCCAGCACCCACATCACGCATCTCACAACTTCCTGTAACTTCTGTTCCCCAGGATCTGATGCCCTCTTCTGGCCTTTGTGGGCTCCTGCATGCCTGTGGTGTACATAACTCACACAGGCACACACACATACACATAACTAATTATATTTATATATTTAGCGTGCATTATGCGCACACAAGCCACACCACACGTGTAGAGAGCAGATGATAACTTAAGAACTATGTGGGTTCTAGGGAATCCAACTCAGGTCATCAGGGTTAGTGGCAAGCACCTTAACCCACTGAGCCACCTTGCTGGCTTACTGCTCCCCCTCCCCTGCTTTTCTTAATTTTAGAGACAGGCTTACAGTGAGCTGTTCGGACTGGTTTTGAACTTGCCCTGTGATCCAGGCAGACCTTGAATGTGTGGTCCTCTTACCCTCGGCCACCCCAAAGTTACAGTCTGTGGCACAATGGACTGTAACGAATTCAAACTTCATAGCTCTCTCTGGGGCTCAGTGTCCTCCTCTCCTGAGCAGATCTGAACACCCTGGCCAGGGGGTAGGGGCTGGATGGGAAAAGAATGTGCTTCTGTGTCAGAGTCCGAGTGATCTGAAAACCACACACACACACACACACACACACACACACACACACACACGCATGCCTTACTCACTACATGGTGTTTTACCTCTTAAC